TTAGGTGGGGGGTGGGGGGGGTTGTTTGAGTGCCAACTCGAAAAGTGTGTTGTATAATGGTGTGAAAGGAAACAAAAAACAGCAGTTTTAGTATTATTTATATAAATATTTAAATTTTGCACTATTTTTTGATATGACTATACCAGTGCTTGTGTTAGAAACAATGTATCGAGTCTACCACAAAAAAAAACAACAACCCAGAATAGAAACCGATTAAAAAGGGATATGTGCAGCGCTGATCAATTTTTTTTTTTTTTTTAAATATGGTTTGGCTGTCATTGTCTTGGGTCATGACGATGCATTCAGAATCTTTGATCGGGTTTTGGAACTACAGCCTATTGACTTTTTTTTTTTTTTTAACTTTTCAGCAAATTTTAATTTTTGTTGTCTTGCTCTGCCTTGATAAAATGTTTTTTCACTGTGCATTTAAATTAACAGGCCATACACTGTGCGATTTTGACGAACCGGCCGAAATTCGCACAGCGGATGCTGCTGTCCGGCACCCTTTCGGCCGCCATCCCCTCGATCAGCCGATCGAAGGAGCAAACAATGAGCTGCCGGTTCAGATCTGGTATTCTGAAAGTGGCCGCCACCGAAGACGGCGGGAGGTTCCTCGATCGGCGCTCGTAAGCTTTGATAATCTGTTGCATTTTGTTCCCTCAACCCGCGGGTTGAACGGAGAAAACATTACAGTGTATGGCCAGCTTTAGGGAAGCCGTTTTATTGGATATCATAAGAAAATAACATGCCAAATTTAAAGTGATGTGGTCACTTATGCGTTGATCATTACCCCCCAGGTAAGGTGGCTACCTCCACTGTCCACAGGTGACTGAAATCTATAAAGGGAACAACTACTTTTGCTAAGTCTTTGATATGAAAGTTGAATCTTGGGGCAATTGGAAGCAAGAATAAAAAAAAATTGCATGAAAAATATCCCTTTTTGCAGGCGACCCATACTGTACTGTTCAAACATTCCCTATGAGACCAGAAACAGTGTTCAGGCCAATTATGAATTTAATTGGAGATATAATAAATTACTTTGAGATTATTATTCCGTTGTTTATTTTTATTTTATATTCCGTTTAATTTTTTTTTGGTTGCATGTTTCCCCCACGACCCCCCCCCCCCCCCCCCAATGGGTGCTACGGATTTGACAGGAAGAGTGTCGTCGTTACGTTATGTTTATGAAGGGCTTTGCAATGTTACAGGTTTGGACAACCTAAAAAGCTGTCTTTTGACAGGTGTTGATGTCTGGCTATGCATAACTTGTATGCCATTTTGTTTCCTGAGCTGACTATTGTTTTGATGCTTGGCCAGTTCATGCGTTCATTGTGTGGAGGATTATTCATGGAACATTGATAGTTGTGGAACTCTGAGACCTGGAATGCTTGGAGTAAGCTGTGCACCAAGAATTCTGTATTTTGTACTGTTAGCACCCTGTCCTTATAGAGCAGAGTGGGCAAATTACGGCCCTCCAGCTGTTGTGGAACTTCAAGTCCCACGACTAGGCATTGCTAGATTCTCGCAGCCACAGGCATGACTCCCGGAGACAGATGCATGATGGGATTCGCAGTCTCGCCACAGCTGGTGGGCCAGAGTTTGCCCACCCCATGTTGGCCCAGTTTGACCACACGCTATTTAAAACGTCTTTTTTACTGGAAAATACTTGAAATCCAGTCTTGAAAATCACATGATCCCTTGTGTTACCTGCTATAAAAGTTGCAGAAAAACCTGTTTTCTAAGTTTTCACTATAATTAGCAGTACTTATTATAATTTTATGATTTATTGAAAGGTTGGTACCTGAGTTAAATCACCGGGAGACTCCTTAACCATCAATTAACTTAAAAGAAGGGGGATCTACACATCAACATTCACACATCAACATTCACACACTTTCTTGTGCACCTTAAACACTAGCTAGACATGTACCCAACTGATTGTGAACCTTCCCACAAGGAGAACATGCTGTTTGCAGGGTCATCCCTATAATGAGGCAGCCTGAGCCATCTCATTGGGGGGCAGACGGGTAGTGGTGCTGGGAAGGTATGTCGGGGGTGTAGCCCCAGCGTCCCAGGTTGCTAAGAGCTCTTGGCAACCTGGGAGCTCTGTGCGGCTTCCTGCCCAGCTCACTGATGTCACCAGTTGCCAGGACCTGAGCTAGACACTCTGGCTGGTGTCCCGTCAAGCTCCTGCCAACCAGTGACATCATTGAGCAGGGCAGCACGCCAGCCAATGACAGCATGGTCCACCGTCTGCACCAAAAGCCCGGCTTCCCATCGCCTCAGGCAGCGAATACCTCAGGGACAGCCCTGCCCCTTGGTATTAACAAATTAAATTTTTTTGGGCACTGTGGCATCCTTGACGGCTTTATTTTTAACTTTTCCAAGTTAAAACCAAAGCACCATATTGACTCAAAAGAACGACGTTCAAATGCAAGCACGCTAAAACACACACAGGCTTCCACTATGGGAATCTTAATAGTGTTTAATGTAGTGAATGATTGCTTATGGTTGCATTCAGAAGATATAGTCAAGTGACGGTGAACCTTTTTATGGTTCCGTTGGTAAAAAAAAGAATCAGTAATGTAACAAATTAAGAAAAAGATTTAAGTATTCTGTTTATATTTCTATTATGCTCATAGAAGAGAATCCACTGCCAACTTTTGGGCCTCTCTCTGCCTACAATTGCACCTCTGTTGTTCCAACAGGCTCTTTGTAATTTGGCTTAATATAGAGTTCCAGACCACCAACCAAGCATTCAGCTTTAGCACTAGGGTGAACAAGTCCTTAAAGGCCCATTCAAGCTGTTGTGCTGTCCTAATGTACCATTTCAAACCTCCAACGTACCTGCACTGCAGCAAACCACAACGCTCATGCCGTACCATTTTTTTTTTTTGGAATTAAGAAAGGGTCATGTCGATGTGTTGGCAGCCACATATTGAATCAGCTGCCCTAATGCAATACATGTTAATGTGCTACAGACGCATGTGCATAACTGCAGTGACCTAGGGAAATATGAATGGGACCTAAAGGCAGATAAATGTGGAAAACATATATGATGGCATGCCTTGAACTATACAAAGTGATCTGAACAGATCAAGTTAGAATCGGGCATTTGCAATTTTTTCCCATTATAATCGCAAACTCAAAAATACCGGATTGAAGAACGTGGTGGAGTTTGTCATATCATGCCAGCATACAAGATGTTATCTGCTTCTAACAAGATGGAACACGTTTCAGAGATTGTCTTTTTGTTTTTCTTACCAATATAGCATTACCAACGCCGTTATGAACCACCTTTTTTTTTTAACCCCTGAAGTATTTTTGCCTCTCACTACCACAGCGTAAAATGATTTTGTTTTCTTCGAATGTTCAAACCTACTATAGTCGAATCATGTTTTGGGTTGGTCCAGAAACGACCGACCCACAACATCATTTTATTTTAGATCTTGGTTGTAGGATGCATCATATAAATTTCCGTTCTGTGACTGGACTGGTATGGTCCATACTTTTACATATTTAGGGTAATCTGTCCATAACAATTTTATTACATTGGCCATAAATTGTCACCAAATTTGTATGAATCATCATGCGCTTATTGTATTAGGAAACGTACATAAAGTTAAACTCCGAAGTTAAATCTTAAAAATACATTCAAGTACCTTAACTATTAACAACAATGTATCTTATTTGTGTATCACTCGGCTGTAGATCCTCCAATCATCTCTGAATTGGTGCTGACACTGTCCTTCCTTCTGGAGGGGGGCTACGTCTGTTCCCCATGGTCCCTGTGTGTGTTGTAAAGTAGTCACCGCTCCAAGCTCGTTCCCGGAATGGACTACAATCTCATGTTTAGTTTACTCATTTGTACTGAGATTGTAGTCCATCGCAGGAGTGAGCTTGGAGAGGTTACTATTTTACAACACACCCAGGGACCATGGGGAATAAAAGTACCCCCCTCCAGAAGGAAGGACAGTGTCAGCACCAATTCAGAGATAATTGAAGGACCTACAGCCGAGTGATACACAAATAAGATACATTGCAGGGAATTCATCCAAACTGGAGAAGACAAAATCTGGAGCAGCTGTGCATGGCAACCAATCAGCTTCTATCTTTCATTTTCAAGTCTTAACTGAACAAACTGAAGAGAGAGTCAGATTGGTTGCCATGCACATCTGTTCCAGATTTAGTCTGCTCCAGTTTTGATAAATTCCCACCATTGTTGTTAATACTTAAGGTACTTGGATGCGTTTTATAAGATTTAACTCCTGAGTTAAGTGTCACTTGAAGTCACAGTTCGAGCCCTTGGCCTTCTGGATCAGCAAATGTAAGTAGAGATGGAAACAAATGGAAAACGTAGCTCTTCCGATGAGGTGGAGGGTTTACAATGAGCATAAAGTACTCCGATCGTAGCTATTGAACCTCAAGAATCTTTTGCCCAGTACATAATACTAGGACGAGGACTGTCCCGGTTTCATGGGTCAGAACCTATGGGGATAATACACTTAGATTTGATTCTAAATGCAAAAAGAAAAAAAAATATTAATCAAATAACCACGATCCCTAGTGAGTGGTTAGATCTAATATTCACTCCCCTTCTAATTACTGTTTAACATCCTCTGATGGTCCCGAGCTTCAAATGCGTTACCTATATCATATATTCTATTAAGTCTCTTATAAACTGCACCGCAACAGCCGTTAAAGCGTTCTGAAACAGACTGTCTGTGTCACCGGGTCAACCGCAGCATCAATTAATGCCTCCAACTGCTAATTATAGTGATTAACCGACCTCTCTGACTGCACTGTGCAAAGGGATTCATCCGAAATCCATATCTTCGTTCGAAATTGACAAGATATCTCTTTACCCTGCACTAAATGACACTTTAGTCAGTTTAATTAAAGTAAAGACCTATCTTGAGTCGCACATTCCTGAAATTAAAAAAAAAAGTGAATTTACATATTTTGTATGCTTTTTATTTTTACAACCATTCCATTTCCAAAATTCCCTTTTTGGTACTTTGTTTTTGGTTTTTTAAGGGGGTATATAATTGAGAACAAAAATATTTTACTTAAAAAGGTCAAAGTGAAAAACCTTTTGTTGACCATTTTTAGCAGCAAAATCATGTGTATAAGTTTGTACTCGGCGCTGGAGAAGGTGGCTACTGCGATCGTATTTGTCGCTACGGACTTCGCAGGGTTTTCGTGTTGGTTTATTTTATTTTTTTGTTGTGCCGTTATTGATAGGTCATCCTACAAACTTTCCTTCTTTTTTTAAAGTATATTTAACAAAAACAAAAAAAGTTTACAGCGAAGGGGTTGTTACCCCTCCGTTTTGTGATGTTAAGGTATCAGCAAAGGATTGTGGGAAAGAGTTCTTCCTGTACCGCACCCTCTATTTGCACAAATGCGTCAACTTGCAGCCGCGACCTCTGCTTGGTTGACTGACAAAACGCTAACACAAAATAGGCAATAAGCATCGTTTTTAATGAAACGTTTTTTGTAACGCATCCAAAAACTCTGGAGACCCGGGATCGTTTTTCACCAGATCCGGCTCCTGTTGGAATGAACGCAGCTGTGTGTAAATGTATACTTGTGACGTATAAAGATAGATGATTTTTGAAACTTTTTTAATAGGTTGCTTGATTCCCATGGGAGGGAAGAATTCAATTTTAAGACGACCATGAAATCCAAGACGGGGCATCCGAGCGTGACACAAGCATGTTGGTTAGTTTTTGTTTTTTTTCTCTTTGTTTTTGTTTTGCGTCCTGTCAGTTTAGTGCCTTAAAAATCTCCTTCTGTGATACGAGTGGTGGGACAGGGTTAGGATGATACTCTCTTCGTCAAGGGCTTTTCAATCCTGTAAACCCTGAGGAGCAGGGGTATCATCTGTTAAGACCCCGCCCCCCCACCCCCCTCTTGTCATCACGCTAAATACTAGAATTATGAAGATGTGCCTCGTTGTGTATGGTGCTCCTTATGCTAAGCATTGGACTGTTGGCAAGGTTCTACGTACGTAAGCCTTGTTTTCTGAGCTAGACACTCTGGCTGGTGTCCCGTCAAGCTCCTGCCAACCAGTGACATCATTGAGCAGGGCAGCACGCCAGCCAATGACAGCATGGTCCACCGTCTGCACCAAAAGCCCGGCTTCCCATCGCCTCAGGCAGCGAATACCTCAGGGACAGCCCTGCCCCTTGGTATTAACAAATTAAATTTTTTTGGGCACTGTGGCATCCTTGACGGCTTTATTTTTAACTTTTCCAAGTTAAAACCAAAGCACCATATTGACTCAAAAGAACGACGTTCAAATGCAAGCACGCTAAAACACACACAGGCTTCCACTATGGGAATCTTAATAGTGTTTAATGTAGTGAATGATTGCTTATGGTTGCATTCAGAAGATATAGTCAAGTGACGGTGAACCTTTTTATGGTTCCGTTGGTAAAAAAAAGAATCAGTAATGTAACAAATTAAGAAAAAGATTTAAGTATTCTGTTTATATTTCTATTATGCTCATAGAAGAGAATCCACTGCCAACTTTTGGGCCTCTCTCTGCCTACAATTGCACCTCTGTTGTTCCAACAGGCTCTTTGTAATTTGGCTTAATATAGAGTTCCAGACCACCAACCAAGCATTCAGCTTTAGCACTAGGGTGAACAAGTCCTTAAAGGCCCATTCAAGCTGTTGTGCTGTCCTAATGTACCATTTCAAACCTCCAACGTACCTGCACTGCAGCAAACCACAACGCTCATGCCGTACCATTTTTTTTTTTTGGAATTAAGAAAGGGTCATGTCGATGTGTTGGCAGCCACATATTGAATCAGCTGCCCTAATGCAATACATGTTAATGTGCTACAGACGCATGTGCATAACTGCAGTGACCTAGGGAAATATGAATGGGACCTAAAGGCAGATAAATGTGGAAAACATATATGATGGCATGCCTTGAACTATACAAAGTGATCTGAACAGATCAAGTTAGAATCGGGCATTTGCAATTTTTTCCCATTATAATCGCAAACTCAAAAATACCGGATTGAAGAACGTGGTGGAGTTTGTCATATCATGCCAGCATACAAGATGTTATCTGCTTCTAACAAGATGGAACACGTTTCAGAGATTGTCTTTTTGTTTTTCTTACCAATATAGCATTACCAACGCCGTTATGAACCACCTTTTTTTTTTAACCCCTGAAGTATTTTTGCCTCTCACTACCACAGCGTAAAATGATTTTGTTTTCTTCGAATGTTCAAACCTACTATAGTCGAATCATGTTTTGGGTTGGTCCAGAAACGACCGACCCACAACATCATTTTATTTTAGATCTTGGTTGTAGGATGCATCATATAAATTTCCGTTCTGTGACTGGACTGGTATGGTCCATACTTTTACATATTTAGGGTAATCTGTCCATAACAATTTTATTACATTGGCCATAAATTGTCACCAAATTTGTATGAATCATCATGCGCTTATTGTATTAGGAAACGTACATAAAGTTAAACTCCGAAGTTAAATCTTAAAAATACATTCAAGTACCTTAACTATTAACAACAATGTATCTTATTTGTGTATCACTCGGCTGTAGATCCTCCAATCATCTCTGAATTGGTGCTGACACTGTCCTTCCTTCTGGAGGGGGGCTACGTCTGTTCCCCATGGTCCCTGTGTGTGTTGTAAAGTAGTCACCGCTCCAAGCTCGTTCCCGGAATGGACTACAATCTCATGTTTAGTTTACTCATTTGTACTGAGATTGTAGTCCATCGCAGGAGTGAGCTTGGAGAGGTTACTATTTTACAACACACCCAGGGACCATGGGGAATAAAAGTACCCCCCTCCAGAAGGAAGGACAGTGTCAGCACCAATTCAGAGATAATTGAAGGACCTACAGCCGAGTGATACACAAATAAGATACATTGCAGGGAATTCATCCAAACTGGAGAAGACAAAATCTGGAGCAGCTGTGCATGGCAACCAATCAGCTTCTATCTTTCATTTTCAAGTCTTAACTGAACAAACTGAAGAGAGAGTCAGATTGGTTGCCATGCACATCTGTTCCAGATTTAGTCTGCTCCAGTTTTGATAAATTCCCACCATTGTTGTTAATACTTAAGGTACTTGGATGCGTTTTATAAGATTTAACTCCTGAGTTAAGTGTCACTTGAAGTCACAGTTCGAGCCCTTGGCCTTCTGGATCAGCAAATGTAAGTAGAGATGGAAACAAATGGAAAACGTAGCTCTTCCGATGAGGTGGAGGGTTTACAATGAGCATAAAGTACTCCGATCGTAGCTATTGAACCTCAAGAATCTTTTGCCCAGTACATAATACTAGGACGAGGACTGTCCCGGTTTCATGGGTCAGAACCTATGGGGATAATACACTTAGATTTGATTCTAAATGCAAAAAGAAAAAAAAATATTAATCAAATAACCACGATCCCTAGTGAGTGGTTAGATCTAATATTCACTCCCCTTCTAATTACTGTTTAACATCCTCTGATGGTCCCGAGCTTCAAATGCGTTACCTATATCATATATTCTATTAAGTCTCTTATAAACTGCACCGCAACAGCCGTTAAAGCGTTCTGAAACAGACTGTCTGTGTCACCGGGTCAACCGCAGCATCAATTAATGCCTCCAACTGCTAATTATAGTGATTAACCGACCTCTCTGACTGCACTGTGCAAAGGGATTCATCCGAAATCCATATCTTCGTTCGAAATTGACAAGATATCTCTTTACCCTGCACTAAATGACACTTTAGTCAGTTTAATTAAAGTAAAGACCTATCTTGAGTCGCACATTCCTGAAATTAAAAAAAAAAGTGAATTTACATATTTTGTATGCTTTTTATTTTTACAACCATTCCATTTCCAAAATTCCCTTTTTGGTACTTTGTTTTTGGTTTTTTAAGGGGGTATATAATTGAGAACAAAAATATTTTACTTAAAAAGGTCAAAGTGAAAAACCTTTTGTTGACCATTTTTAGCAGCAAAATCATGTGTATAAGTTTGTACTCGGCGCTGGAGAAGGTGGCTACTGCGATCGTATTTGTCGCTACGGACTTCGCAGGGTTTTCGTGTTGGTTTATTTTATTTTTTTGTTGTGCCGTTATTGATAGGTCATCCTACAAACTTTCCTTCTTTTTTTAAAGTATATTTAACAAAAACAAAAAAAGTTTACAGCGAAGGGGTTGTTACCCCTCCGTTTTGTGATGTTAAGGTATCAGCAAAGGATTGTGGGAAAGAGTTCTTCCTGTACCGCACCCTCTATTTGCACAAATGCGTCAACTTGCAGCCGCGACCTCTGCTTGGTTGACTGACAAAACGCTAACACAAAATAGGCAATAAGCATCGTTTTTAATGAAACGTTTTTTGTAACGCATCCAAAAACTCTGGAGACCCGGGATCGTTTTTCACCAGATCCGGCTCCTGTTGGAATGGACGCAGCTGTGTGTAAATGTATACTTGTGACGTATAAAGATAGATGATTTTTGAAACTTTTTTAATAGGTTGCTTGATTCCCATGGGAGGGAAGAATTCAATTTTAAGACGACCATGAAATCCAAGACGGGGCATCCGAGCGTGACACAAGCATGTTGGTTAGTTTTTGTTTTTTTTCTCTTTGTTTTTGTTTTGCGTCCTGTCAGTTTAGTGCCTTAAAAATCTCCTTCTGTGATACGAGTGGTGGGACAGGGTTAGGATGATACTCTCTTCGTCAAGGGCTTTTCAATCCTGTAAACCCTGAGGAG